CCCTTGTACCTTGGGTACACCGTAGGAGGGCAGGGGAGAGATATGAACGACATGACAATGGAGAAAGGGGCAGGTAACTTGTAAGGAAGGACTCGGAGGTGGCCGTGAAGGTCAGAGAAGGAGGAGACGGAGATGGATCATGGGACCGGGGTGAGGAGGGGGCTTGAATAGTGGAATGGAGCTAGCAGAAACTCGAGAAGGTACAAGTTGCATGTCTTGTCTGAGAAAAAAGCTGTCACGGCGTTCGTTTGGTTTGTGAGAGAAGAGTTGAAGACAGGACAGGTGTAAGGAGCGAGGCACGAGGTGAGGTGAGAAGCGTGAGGAAAGGGACTTGGATGGGATGAGGAGAAAGAGGAGGTCAAGGGACGTTTCGCAAGAATGTCCCAAAAGGGAAACGCAGGTTCAAGTAACATGGGAGGATCCCAGCAGGGTCTAGAAGAGGGCCCCCTGGTCAATGCGGGGGTTGAAGTAAACCGAAGATCGCTGCCGTCTATATGCATGTGCCTCTATGTATGTGTGCATGTATGATGTAAGTGCATATGCTGCGAGAAACGTGCCTTCTTCCACTTCACCCTGACTTCCTTCCTCACTTCGAATTCTGCAGTCATCCCATACATCGCGCCCATTTTCACCCGCCGTCGTGGCGGCAGATAAGGAACCACACAACTCTGACATAATTGTGAACAAGCGTATACCTTACCTTACCGAGAACCGTACGAGATAATATCCGTCCACAGCACCACCGGCGGGACCACACACGGGTCTTCCCACTCCACTTCGCTCCTCTAACCCGAAAGGCACCGCTTCCCTGTCGTTGGGACTGTCGTCTCCTCCCGTCTCTCGTCAAGACAAGAAATCTTCCGCTTTTTCCCTCCGGATGGAACCACGATCCCAGATGCAGGAAAGTACCGCTCCCCCACCACTTAGGTTCCCAGCATAATGGAACCCGGTTTGCCGTTTGATGGACGTGGATCAAGCCAGACAGTACGGATACACTATGGAATATACTACAGGCACACAGTCACATACCTTGAGCCTGGCTGACTCTCGCCCTCGTGCGGAAGATGAATCCCAACTTTTTTTTTCTCTTTAGACAATGTTACGCTGCCGCGCCTAACCATCCCATCATCATTTCCCACGGTCCCGGTGGATTGGCAAGCGATGGAACTTACCGTTCGGAGCACATGGATGATGAAGAAACACATCATGGCTAGCTGCACTGAACCTTCTCCAACTACTTGAACAATATCCTCTTTTCCTTCATCCCCAACCACCCAGCTGTCATGGCTTCGGATGACGCGAAATGAGATCAGCTTGACAGTTGCCGAAAGACGCTGCTGCGTTGCAGTTCCAGAGACGACGCCCGGCTGCTTTCACCACCTGTCCCTATCTTTATTTTTAGGCAGGCCAGGAGACTTCCAACCGCGCATGCGACTCTCCTCCGGGGCATGAGAAAAGTTCAAATTTTGTCGAGATAACCGGCCGTTGTCGGCGGTTCGCAGCCTGTCGCCGTTTTATTCGGATCCCACCGGCAAGGTCAGACTCGTTCTCGGCTCTCTGTACGAAAACCTCACGAATAGGCCTGTATCGGCGGCTTTCTGGGCATGAAAATCGATGGTATGTCATGCCAGCGAGCAGAGCTTGTTACTTACTCGAGTCAACCTCATCCACACACTTGCTGCACCTGTCAACCAGCTCATAATCCAATCGCGAACCGCGCCGGAACGGACGTGCAGCTGGGTGCGGGAGACAGACTTGGCGCCGAAGCAAACCATGCAGGGGCTCACCACAAGCTTCAATCTCAGGATCCAATCGGTTGCGAAAGACGACGATAAACAAAGCTGACTTTAGGCTCAGAATGCCCATGTCAAGTCAACGGTCTCAACCCTCTTCAGACCTTCACATTGACGACTGAAGGTGACCCTTTGAACTGTGACGCTCAGATTCCCGCCGTCAAGCTAGGAGCCCCTGTTCGACAACTTCCGTGCACCCTGCGACTCTCGGCCCGCAAAGTCGTTTGGGATTGGGATGAGACTGGCTTGGAAAGGATTGGAGACTGGTTGGAGAACTGGCTGGAGAGCTGGGAACTCGGACTGAACGTCTCCTAGTGCTCCACACAACTCTGACGAACCAACCGGGAGACCCATAAACCAGAGGGGACTCTGTAATCGGCAATATTCCATTATCCGGGCTGCTGGCCAGCAAATGGATGCGATTTGCTCGTCTGGTTTTCCATCCAACTCCCTGTCCGCGTCCGTTGTCGAACAGGGACCCCCGGATCTGCTGCGCTGCACTGAATCCGGCACGCTCAGATTCTGTGCTTGAAATTTTCTTTTTCTTGTTCGATTTGTTTCTCGCCTACCTGAGGGTCACCGCTTCGATTCTGCACCGTTGCTGCGCATTCGATGCGTCGATGCGGCGCGACTCCCTAGATAAAATACACAACAAGAATGTCACCAGCAACCGGTACGGATACTACGCTATCCACATCAGCTTCGAACACGGTCCTTTACGCACGTACAACATGATGCAAATTGAGGGGCGTACAGGACGGGACGTGATGTGTGCATGCGCCGTTCAAACAGCAAACCATCGATATCCACGTCACAAGAGGGCAGATGTCAGAATATGCCGCGTCAAGTCTCTTACTGTGGTATGCTACGAGGGCATAGATAGTGGCGCCTGGCTGCACTGCAGGGCATCGCTGCGTGCCGCACTATTCATGTGCGGATAAATGTACATACATATGCATGCATATGTTGACGAGCGAACCGCATTGGGCTCGAGTCGCGACGTCGGTACCAAGGAAACGTTGACCGGCCGCATTCGACATGCATGGCGGCAGCGGCTCCCATGTCGTTTAGGTGAATTAGTGCCGCCACCAGCCCAACCACACACCAACCCAGACCTGCCAAAAGGTGAGCAATTGCTTCCTGCATACCACTAGTACAATTCCATGGGAAACTTGGGAAGGAATACATGATCAGTCACTTACGCTTGCCATCTAGCCAACGAGCCGGTGAATCAATCACACTCAAAACTGGAAACTGTCGTCGCCTGCGCCTGTCATTGCACTCGATAGTGAGACCATCGAGTACCTGCAACTGCCCTACCTGCACTGATCAGCAATGCCGTTCCGGCCCGCGGCTGGTCATATCGTATTGTCTCGTACCATTGGTTTTCCATCCATCCTTCACGACCCGCCTCCAATAAGGAACCACAGACAGCCCGACCTTCGATGTCCGTCGGTACCGGATGACATTGACAGTTCACATATCCACGTCCATCATTCCAACATTCCAAAATTCAAACCCTCTTCTCTCGGCGGCAAACCATGGCTGGTGGCCTTAATTCCCGAACATAGTTGCGAACTCTAATTCCGGCCCGCCTACAACGATATGAAGTGGGCTTGTCAATGTCACCCACTCTCAGACTCCCCAGTCCGAGAGACTCGCTGCGATTCAACGTGTCGTTCTTCCAGAACGAACAGGACGCCTTCCCTGGTCGACGCACATAGGCTAAAGCCCGTGGACGGTGGGCGACTACACTAGCTCAGGCTGGAGGAGCGGTCGATCTCTGTTCCATCAGCCGCATCGTCTGATCTCCGCCCAAAGATTCCAGAGATGCGAGTGGTCCGTCGAACCCTTGTACAGTTCCCTGCACAGCCCGCACTAGGTTTTTCCCACGTTGCATCCTGGCCTACCAGCCCTTGACGACTTTCTTCACCAATCCTCTCATTCACCAACCGCCTCTATGGAGACTCTGCTAGGTCTTTCCTCCTTGCTTTCACCACGTCTTTGAATAAGCTAACACAGACGCGTCTACTTATCAATGATTAGTTTCCTCAGGCAAACTTCTATCCATCGAAACATCGAACCCGCTTTCCCGCAGACGCACATACCAGGCATGGTCATGATTGCCATGGTGGACTTGATTCAGGACGACCACCCGCGGCGTCGTGATCGAGCACGTAGGCCGCTCCTCCTAAGTCCTGCGTTCCGCATCCTACGTTTGGCTCTTGGCAGCCGCTGGCCCAAGCGGGGTGGAAAGGCGTTGAACTCCATCAGGCCAGCTCGCCGTCTGCTATGCCTCCCAGTCAACATCGTCGATGCTTCTCTTTGATAGGGCGTCGTTGAAACAAGGCTGGCGCGGGAGGGTTCCGAGCACTTCCCCTTAGATGGTAGCACTACCAATGTTCAGACCAGGTCGACCTGGGATGGTCTAACGCTCTAAGGGAACGCGGTCGCCTTGAGGCGATGAAGCTATGGGACGTTAGGTAAGGAAAGGGGCCTGCACTGACCTTACAAGAGCTTCATATGCCGAGACGGGTCATGTTTGCAGCACGTCCCGTCGTCTCCAGGCGTTTCCCGCCTAGCCTTGCCCTAAAACGCCGCCATTGGTTCTCAGGAAGGGAGCCGATTGCCGATACTTGGTCAGATCAGACAGTGCTTGCGGCTTGCAGGTGAGGGGTTGTGGCTTCAAGCGCTTCAAGCGTTGCGATTGGATTGGGAGGCACTCTTCCCAGCATTTGTGCCCGTCTGCAGCTGTGCTAGTGCGTTGCGGCTCGAGGGAAACGCCTTTCTGGGCGCACGCTAGCCAACGAGCACATTTGCAGGTGGCCTTGGTGTTGGGTATGTGAGGGCACGAACGGCCGTAATCCCCATATTCGCCATCCACTTCATGCTTCGTTCTGAGAACAGGCCGCGTCGCCCAATTTTGGATGTGCCAGGCATACCTCATGCAGCAGACCGGCCTCGAACAGCTCAAGCCCGAGCCAGCGAAGCAAGACGCTCAGCTCAGCATGATGCTGTGGCACATTCAGGGCTTTCGAATCACTCGGTTCTTTCTATTTTCAAATTGCGAGACTGTCATCTGATACGCCCCCTTCGTCGACTGACCGGGCGCCGCAGAAAGAGGGGATTTTGACAGTTCGCTCGTCAACGTTGCAGTCTGATAGACCATTCCGTCCAAAGGTTACGCCTTTGAAGTATTGGGGAGAAAGTTATTCTGTCGTGTTCCATACCCGAGACAAGGGTACCAGTCGCTCGTCGGTTGTTGCCGTCCAACCCGGGGCCAGCAAAGCTCCTAAGAAGCAAAGCAGAGTTTTGTGTGGTTTCTCCCCTGCTCCTCCCTTCTCCTACTTGTCTCCTAGAAGGGAGACGAGCAGAATCCCAAATGTTACGCTGGCTTGCCCATTTCGTCCAAGTGGTTGGCTGTGGCAGTGGCTGTCAAGAGAGATGCAAGATCTCGCGATATATGGCATATACACTATCCGATTCGCTCGATGCTTTTACTCCGGGCAACGCGCCGAGACAGCCGGATACCACCGCCGACCAACCGCCGCTTGGTTTCCGAAGATGGTGGTGTGCGTGTATGTGTGTCGTGGTTGCAGCCCTTCTTCTTCCCCGGCTTCTGAGGGCTGGCTAGTAATACGATTTGTCACGCGGAAAGGCCAATATCCTCCGTGTGTCCCGTATCCTTGAGGACGCTATCCCGTACTATGGTTGATACGACCGCTCACCCCCGGGGGCGCGAGGGGCGAGAGCCGATAAATCCGGTGAAGTGTATGTGTGTGTATGTGTGCCGGCCGGCCGTCAGCCAACGGAGGGCAGGGCTTGGGGGTTGCCCTTCGAGACGGTTTGCTTCCGTTTTCACCGTTTGGTAGATTGGAGGGGATTTGAAGAGCAGTGCCTGCTGTTGACAATCTGGGCCTTTCAGTGGTCTTTTGAGATTTGTGAACGGGCAAAAGGATCGTTGTATGTTTGGGGCTGGGACAACGAGAATTTTTTTCACACTGCCTACTCAAGACATTTTCTTTCGCTCTCCCAGCACATACGACCATACCCATTGGAAAACTCGGGATCCCGTCCGCTCTCCCATAGATAAGCCAATGAGGGCCGGATTAGTAGTTGGGTCGGTGACGACCAGCGAATACCTGGTGTTGTATGTTTTTGCCTTTTCGTCATGTTAATTGACTTTGGTTACCATCCTTGTTTTCTTTTCGCTTGTCTTCTTTCAAACGTGCCCGTGGCTGGTTGCTCATCTCCCGTGTACGTCTTTTTGTTGCAAGTCTCAGGTTGCCTCAAGACTAGATGAAGGCGTATTCCTGCATGGGCAGGTCCATTATTTGCCACATTCCCTTCACCTTATCCAACACTCTGTACGAAGTTGGGTCGGCAGATTCCGTGTTTGAGGCTATTCCCAGATCACCAGCGTCGGGTGTAGAGGGTGAGTGCTCAGGTTCCTTCCCCTTGCCGCCTACCATAAAATCATGAGTGTCAGATTTAACAGGCTTCTGTTCAGATTCCTTTCCTTTGCCGCCGATTATGAGTTGCTCTTCATCGACAGCGGCGCTCTGCTTCCCATGGCTCTCTGACTTGGCCTTCTCCACCAGTTCAACCACCCAGCAGATACTCATACTTCTGATATCAGGACGAGGCAGCACTTCCCAGTCTGAGTTGAAGACGGGAGCAACGAGGCATGGTCCATCCACGTCGAAGATCGATATGAGCTGCTGCGTCCGAGCTTGCTCTGCCTCTGCCGTGAAGAGGTCTCGCTTGAGAGCTTCTGCGAACCAAGCCAGACTGGACGGGACGATCCTGGTTTCGTGATCCTCGAGGGCGTCGAATTTCCCTTCGAGGCCAGAACTGTAGAGCGTTGCCAGGAATCGTCGCTGGATTTGCCGTTGGATAATGTTGTCTGGAAGTTCGCCATCATTCTGCCGACTTGGGCCTTCCCCTGGATCGCGGCTCGGCCTAGGATCCACTCCCACCAGCGGGACATTGGAAGCGCAATTATACCTGGCGACGAAGAGGACGCCCTCATGCATGATCTGGTCCACGATCCAGGCTTGATAATAGCCGCCGCCTCGATCCTTATCCAGCTGAAGCGTTCGGAAAGGGTCCACAAGAACGTCTTCGTGTGAAAAAACCTGCTCACCCACTAAGTCTGGCATCTCTGGCCTACGTGTATAGACGGCATCCGTGCAAATCGATTGCCATATGCTGTTCGCGGAGGTCGTGCAAGTATCGCAAGATGGCGAAGAAGATCTCCGCCACGATCTTCTGCATCTCGGGCTCCGCTTCTACGCGGTAGGCGTCAAGGTATGCTTTGACCTGAACCTCCCTCGCATCTGGGCCTTCCCAAACACTCGAGTCAGCAGCGATGACACCATGGTGGAAGATTTCCGATTTCGCCCGGTCTCTGACGTGGTTCTTTGAGAAATGTTGGGTAATTAAACCCTTTCGCCTAGCGAATTCATCGACGGATTCCTCCTTTTGGCGGTCCATGATGATGCGCAAGCACTTCATCCTATGCCAGATCTCGGCGAATTGGTATTTCAGAGGGCTGAGATCGAGAGTATCGTCGACTGTCCAGAGATATGCACATAGATGGAGTCCTTTCCTCTTACCCCCGAAACTATGTTTGTACACGGCAGGGTTGACGAGCTTGCCGTCTTGTACTGCGTAGCTACTGATCCCTTTGGAGTCCGTGTCAAAAGGTGACAGAAGGCTCCCCACGCAGCGGTCCATAGAAGGGTCTGGCTCTCCGTCTTCGTCGCCAGGGAAGTCATAGACCTCAGGCACCAGGAGGGACGTGTCTCCATTCAGCAGCGTGGTGGCCAAAATACCGAGTCGGAGCGAATCACATTCCTTCGCTACTCTAATAGGGTCTAAGCGAATCTCGTAACTGCACATGTTTGCCAGGATAGTCAGACGATCCTGAACATCGCGACAGTGACGACTCTTCAGCAGCGTCAGAGCCGTGGCGGCGTTCACCTTTTGACGGCCACCGTAGACTTTGCCTCCGTACACGTGGATACCGGCCACATGCTGGCGCACTGTGATCTTTGGATGAAGGGACTCGGTGACGGAGAGGATCGGGATGGCATTCTTGCCGGTGTTGGTTCGAATCAGAGCCTGCCCCATAAACTGAAAACGTTGTTCCAGCAGAGACTTGCAGGTTTCGACAAGGACCCTAAAGAGGCCTACAGGAATGCAGATAATCTCTGACTTGAGAGTTCGCCTCTCCGAGTCTAGTGGATGTCGAGGAGTCGAATACTTCTTCTGATCGGCACGAAGCTTGGACGTGTAGACAACACCAAGACCTCGTCTGAACACAAGAACCAAGCCGTCGCTGGCACTGACTGCTTCTTGAATAACCCACGCTCGTGTGTACCATTTGTCTGCTTGGACCATGTACAAGAAATCCAAAGCATACTGGAATAACTGTGGACGGAGGCTCAAATAACGCAGTTCTTCAGTTTCGTGTTCTATCAAGAATTGAACCGCGCTCATCTCAGTCTTGCTGATAGTTGATTCGTGTAGGCCAGCTGTAACGATAGCCCTGTTGTAGACTATGTCCAGTGCCTGTACCCCGAGTCGCTGGTACGCCTTGTCTTTCTCTGAACCATCTTCTTTCGGTTGCGGAAGGCATTCCTGGTCGATCCAAATCATGCGAAGCCCGACGGAAATAGCAAAGTCGACAGCACGGTCGAGAACATCGTCAAGTGCCCGAGCAGTATGTGGCCTATCGTTGAGATCTCGGACCTTTGATTCGATGATAGGAGGAACGGTGTTTCCATACTCGTCTTTGATTTCCTCAGGCCAGCAGTACGATACTGCAATATAATGGACACATACGTCGACGCTGCTTGGCCGTTCCGTGACGAGATGCGGGAACTCGTCCGCTGGTTTGAAAAGGCGGAAGTTCCACGTCTTTTTGTCGTGGGGAAACGTGGGTAGCTTCGAGCATATTCTGCATTCGAAGACGTCTTCATCTTCGTCTGTGTTGGTAACAGAGGGCCCGGATTCTGCTGAAATCGGTGCGTTGCCAGACTCGCCGTCACTCATCAATGACAGACGGATGGCCTCTTGAAGCTCTGGATCATCCATGTTCTCGTCTTCGGGGGTCTATCTACATGCTGTAGATGATCCAGCAACCAGGCTCGAAGGATCCGCCGTAATTGGTCCGTCGCTGGATTCATCGTCACTCATCAACGACATGCGAATGGCCTCTTGAAGATCTGGATCGTCCATGTCGTCGTCTTCTGGAGGATGCTCAAATGCCGCAGCTGGCCCGGCTTCCGAGTGCGGTTGCTTCAAAGATGAGATAGTTGCTTGCTTGAACATGGGATCTTCGTCGCCATCTCCAAGAGTTTGTAGTGCAACAGATGAATCATGATCGGAACTCGTCGGCATGAACTTGGGAGGCCTCTCGAAGATCGCGGTGTTCTCGCTGGTCTTGCCTGTCTTCGAGTCGCTCTCGTCCGCGTCGGCGGTGTCATCATACACTAGGAACTTGATATCCCGATAAGCCCAAGTCTGTGCCTTGACACGTTGTACCTGAAACTTCCAAAGCCCTTGGACCTTTTCAAGTTCCCCAGGCCTGATAGCCGACGTATTGTGGCCGTATCGTCTTGCATGTTGTCCGTTCGGCGATGTAGTCGGGGATTACTGTGCCCTCTGGATCTTCTTGTGAATGGTGATAAGTAGACTCGGCTGATCAGCAGAAAAGGAGGGGGCCAAGAGTTTATACTCATCCGAGTAGACAAGTACGTCACCTTCTGAAGCAGTGGTATAGGATAGCCTGTCGTCACGACGGAAATTAGATGCTTATTGTAAGCTTGGCTGCAGAAGCTGAGAGTAATCCTTCGTTGAGCGAGGCAACGCCGCTCAACTGCAGTGTAGCAGTCAGCGTCGCATTGAGGCAGGAAGGCCGTATACAGTATTGGGGGAATGGAAGTGGAGTACCAGGACTTACACCCTTGGGTGATGGCTCTCATGGCATTCCTCCGCAAAGCATACCGGGGTGAATGGAGACTTGAGTGCATCGAGCTAGATAGCCGTGGCATCGCTCTCGTTTCTACAGTCGTGTTAGTGCCATGCCGATCGCTGCCTCTCAGGGGCGTCTTATTTCTCTCAACAGCTACGAAGACCTTGCTGTCCTGGCTGAACCGTGAGCAAAAAACAATCGGAGGGGCGCAGAGATAATCTGTGACGTTCTGTAGGAGGGGGAACGAGAGGAAAATGGCGAAGTGTGGACCACATGTTCGGAACCACGTTGGAGACTGCCTACAACTTAGTACGTAGCGAAACGTCTTTTTCTGATCCCACTTTCCCTCTCGACAGCACCAGAAGCAGCTCCCCGTGTACCATTGCCTCATCACTTCCTCTGGTCAATGGCGACGACAAAAGAAGCATTGTCACTTCCCTGAGGATAAAAAGGTCTGATTTCATAGAGGTAAACTCGTAAGCCAGGCGCCGTGCTTTGCTAATGCCTATAATCGACAACTGTGTTCGCTCATCAAGAGCGGCAAATTTCATCTGCCTTGGGTGAAATGAGAACACCACCACAAGATACCCAATTTCTCCCTTGCGAGAACTCTAAAGCAATATGCGCAGGGAAAACACCCCCCTTTTCTGATCAACAAAACATGGCAGGATACATCACCTCCTCACTGAATCGAGCTTCCGCCACCCAATCTAGTACCTGTACACCGGGTCCTTCTTCTTGGAACTCTTCGGGGTTGATTCGTAAAGGTCATCATCCGAGTCCTCATGCAGTGTCTCTTGCCTGTTCCTGAGGTCGACAGTCTGAATCGGGTTACCGCTCAGGGGTCCAGGCGTAGTGGCTTCGTCGGCGCCATGCATCGTGATTTTGCCAAGAGCGCTGTCTTGTCTTCCAAGGTAGCTTGGAGTGGGGTTGAAGCCTGGATGGAATGGCTCATGAGCCAGCCGCGGCTCCTCGCCCGGTAGTTCCACCGCACCACCGGACCCTCCGGGTCTGCTCGATGAAGAGTAGTGGATCTCCGGCTGGGGGTCTCTGAATGGGTCCTCGGCCCCGTATTGCGGTTGCGCTTTCGGGGGCGGTCCCGGGGGTGGGGCGAAGGTTTCTGATGCCTTGCCCTTTCCGCTTCCTTCGGACGGCCTTGTCGGCAGAGGAGGGGTCGAACTAGAAGATGACGACTGGGCCTGGGCTTGCGCCCATTCTTGGGTCCGACTCGCTTGCTGAGACTCAGCCGTCTGGGGGCTCACGGGGCTAGCATTATCTGACCTCGGGTCAATTCCGAGCTGCTTCCGAGCGCCCAGAACGGCTCTCTGATGCTGGTTGAGCGCTGATTGTAGTTGCTCGTTCGTATCAATCAGGTGCTCCATAGTCTCATTGTCGGGAGACGGGTTTTCGGCAGTCATGTACAATTGTATACTTCTCGAAGCACTCTGGCATCTGTCCGCGAACTCCTTGATCAGGTCATTGTTGATGACCTCCTGGGGAGGGGTGTTGACGACAACCTGAGAAAGTAACTTTGCAGATGTTCTCGCCTCCTCTAACCTACTTGCAAGCTCAACGGGGGTAGGCAAGCTTCGATTGGTGTGATTTCTTGCAAAATAATTCTGCGAGTGAGGATTGAATGGCGGCGCATTCATAGTCCGAGGATCGGGGCCAGCCATAGACTGTCTGGGATTCTATGGGGATATGTCAGTTCGGTAAGGACGGAATCGACTGCTTTTTTTAGGAGCCCTTACGCCATATTGCTTGTAGCTTCGTTCCTTTTCCTTCTTCCACATAGAGATCAACTCGCCCAGACCCTGATCGTCAAACTTGGTAGCCTCGAAAGTATCCAATGTCTCGGATAGCATCTGTCTGACACTGGGATCGTGCGTAGTACGGTATAACTCCTTGACGGTATCGGCGAACTTCTTGTCCATATTCCGCGTGAACGTGGGGCCGGGATTGTCGGTAAGGATGCGAATCAGCATGATGGCATTGTACTGCCACGAGGCTTTGGCGTGGTTATCCTTGGCTAGGTATTTCCGGATGATGCGCGCGCATTCGGCGGCCGCGGCCGGAGAAGACTCAGCGGCATCGACAATGGGCGGGAGGTAGAGGACTTCGTCACCCTGTATATTCTATTAGCAGGAAGCTCACCGCGAGCACAAATTGTCGCGACTAAGCATATACCTGAGCATTGGGGCCTCCAGATTCGCAAAATTGTTTCTGAGCACTACGTCAGCTGTGATCATTGGCGTAGGGAAGGCCAGGTCTTGCATACCACGCTACGCGCAGCCGTAGCTTCGGGCGTCTCGTTCTGCGGGTCTACTGGCGATGCCGACACTTGGCTGGATCCACTGAAGTCTTGCGGGGAGAGATATCGATCAGCACTTCCTTCGGGATCACTCTAGATGGAGTTAGGGTGTATGGTGGTTTCTACTCACTATTCGTCGTTCGCTTCTTGAGCGTACTCATCATTCGATTCACACTAAGCCCCTTCATGGCCTTCATCTTTGCGGTCGCGGAACCTGCGGACGGAGGAGCGCTGAGCCGCGAGGGGACGAGAGACTTGCGTCGGAAGCACGGATCTAGGGGTCCTATGACGGACAAAGGGGGAAAGCGCCCGAGTCGAAGCGGAGTGGTCGAATGTCCAGAAGAGACGCTGATATGAACGTCGCAAGATATCGCAAAGCGGCCGTGAACGACTGAAGTGAATGGACGATAGGCGGATTGTCTGTGGAAAAGAGTTAAGGTTCGGTGAATGGAATGACAGCAATGCGGGAAGCTGTGCGCGTATGTTTCGGGGGGCAAGCGGCGGGAGTTTGGAAGAAATAGGTACGGATGCGCAGGGCCTAGTTGAGCTGCAGCCTGGAAGTGACGCTCGGAGGGGAAGGGTAAGGCAAGGTCGGACGGGCCAGACGAACTGGGGGTTATTTTAAATTAAACCTCAGCCCGGCGTCCCGCTGGTCCACCGTCCACGGGGTCCTTTTAAGCGTGTGCTGTAATGGTGCGTAGTGCGGTATCTGGTCTGTTGGACCGTTGGAAAAGTTTTGGCGGGGTGATTGGAACGCCCCAAGTATCGAGCGTCTCGGCGTGTGAGAGGAGGGAGACGGCGGCGCCTGGCAAGGGTTCGGGTCGAGTGGGCTTGTCTGCGCCTCTCCGAGTGCGTGGTGCGAGGAGAGTTACTGACCGCGGTACGGAGTCGAGGTCACGTAGCGGCGGCGGCAGTCTGTGGCCTTGCGAATGCCGGACGTTGCCGGTGGCTTCGATTAACCTTGATACTCTGCTGGTAGCGCTTCTTGGAGATCTATCTCGCGGAGGATGGCGCAAATGAGTGTGGCTGTTCGTCGGTTTGGTTTCGGGCCTGGGCAGATGCTTCGTTTGTTACGAGGGGGAAAAGCCAAGGAGCCTTTTTGTTTATTGACATTTGGTGTTAACGAGGAAGGATAATCATGGACGAAGGGAAGATATCAGTGTTTCTAGCAAGTTGTTAGAGACCCTTGCAATCTTGTCGTTGTTGGTTGGTGCGAATCATGTCAGATCAGGATGAAGGTAAGTATGCGAACGACGAGAAGAAACGAAAGGCGGTGGAAAGGGTCCTCGATTTGCGTTGGGCCGATGAAGGTATGCTCGTCGCCCCTTATGCTGCGGCGAGTTGTTCAGACCAGGTACAAGTGTCGCGGCGTTGATTCTGGAGCAGGCATGACGACGACTTGGATGGCAAAAAGTGATGCGCCAGAGGCCCAGAGCCCCCAGAGAAGACGGCAGTGCCTGGGGAGACCTTGCACCGATCTCCAGTACGTATCTCACAGCTCGTTGGTGGTGGGGACCTCGAAACCACCAAACTTTGGTTTTGGGTCTTTCCTCCTCTGTATCCGTCCAGACGGGAGTAATCCTCCTCATCAGATCCTATCCATCTGTGTCTTTCTCATGTTATTCGGACCTTACCTTACCCGAGACGAATTTTCAAGACTTTAGCATTCTTAGCATAGCTGCCACATGTGCTTGTAATCTACACAAGCCATCACGCTTTACTGGAATGTTTACTCATCCTCCTTCTTTTTGGTTTGGGTTCTACTTTATTTGGAGAGGACCACGTCAAAAATTGGGGGTCGCATTGACTAGAGACATCCCCCCATTTTGACGTATGCAGGCGGGTACGACGGTCCAGTCTACGTTCATGCCATAATTCAGGGTCTTCCTCCCGCACATGATCGGATGGCAAATCTGGTCCTTCAACAATACAGCAACTCGTATTAACATAAACCTCGAGCTAGACAAACAACCTGTCTTGATGTTGTTGTTTTTCATCGCGATTAAATTCCGACCATGATGATCAGCCCTCTTCTTCACTTCGCAGCCGAGCTACACAAACTTTCAACTGCCAAACCCCACGGCCCGGCAAGCCAAGTATTGGTCTGCACAGCCTCACTCATCCACGCAAGCAGCAACATCCTCAACACGTACGTGTATGGCCAAACAGCGCCACGGGACCTGCCACCTACATCGCATGCGGTGTACATTACACACTTTTCCCTTCGGCCTCCCGTCGTCTAGTGGGGAACTCCCAAGACGCCAGACAAAAGGGGCCACGCAAATCAACCCCTCTTTAGCATTCACTTACAGATACCTGGGGTGAGATATGTACATCATCAGGTTGCCTCCCGCGCCAATGTCATTACCCTCTTGTGAACTTCACGGCCTCGTGCCGATGGGCTACCTTGGCTTGCCCAAGATGGACAGACGGCTCCCGCGGCTAGATTTAGGCGATTAGAAGCTATTGTATCCTGCAGCTGGCTGACAACGTTCTTCAATGCTCGCGACAATGTCTGGAATGGTTGCTATTGGGTGCCCGCTCACTGCGCGTACAAAATGGCGCGGTTTTCTACTAATGCTTGCTCTGCCTTGCGCCATCCTACACTTGCTTGATCAGATGCCCTGGGTCGTACCATCTCCATCTACGACGAGTATTCTTCGCCGGAGTCTGACTCGCCGTCGACCGACACCTCCTCCACGATCAGATTCCCTGACCGCCCAATCTTCTGCCCCATCGTTTCCTCCTTGCTGGGTTCGTACACCACCCGGGGCATCACAGATGCAATGCGGAACTGATACTCGTGCTCGTAGCCCTCGGGCTTGACAGCCGCCTTCTCTGACACTTCCTCTGATGCCGTCAACACATCGTAACACTCCACGAAAGCGTATAGCGTTTCCATCGTTGTGTCGTTGCGGAACCGGCGCACGATTCTTCCAGCCCCAGACGACTCGGGCATCTTCAGCGCAATCCGTACCACATCCTTGTTGCTGGCTGGTGGCTCGTCTTCCATAGTCGTCGCCCGCCAGCGCTTCCACTTATCGCCAAGCTCCTCGCGCCTCGCTGCAGCTTCGGCTTCTTCCTCGGCTTTGCGTGCAGCTTCTGCCGCGGCCTTTTCCGCCTCGCGCCGCTGTCGCGCTCTCTCCCTGTCCTTGGCCAACGATCGTTCGTAGGCCGTATCTTGCTCAGTTCGCAGACTGCGTGCCACCTCTTGTGCTGTCCTCTCTGCTCGGACACCTGCTAGATCTGGTGCGTATTTGTTGATGGCGGTCTGAGCTTCCGCAAGGTACGCAGTAGCCGGCATCGGGCCAGCAAGCCGCTTGATGATGCTCATTCTAGTGCTTCCTTCCTTGGGCGTGAGGCAGATGATCGCCGAAAATGGGTACTTTGTGCAGTTGTATTCCTGGGCGACCTGGTACGCTTCAGAGTCCAGGATGTTGCCGCCCCACAAGATAACATTGTTCGCCGGGTCATTGATGAAGCTGACAACATCCGGGTTCAATAAAGTTTCCCTCGTGAAAGATTCGGTATCGTCGTGTTCGGGCGACATGAGAACAACAAGTAAGAACTTGAGGTCCTTCTTGGCCAGGTCTTGTGCCTGGGCAATACCGCCCTCGAACCAGGGCAATTCGGTGCTTCCATATTCTTCCTCGAATTCACGCTTGAAACGTGCGGCCGTGTCTCGGGGCATGAGCATCCGGCGCCCATTGGTACTCCGCAGTCCATTCCCCGGCCCGCTCGTGATGGCCCGTGGCCGGATCTGTCGGGGAAGAAAACTGAGCAGGTAGAAGACGGTCCGAAACACCTTAGATGCGATGCTGTAACCGATGCTGAAGGGTGCCAGGAGCAACCCGATCAGGAATGGTGGACGGTGGACTGTATTCGGTTGAGGAACGATTCGCGGCGCGGGGTCGGGTCGATCTCTCCGAGGAGCCGGTGGACGAGCTGCAGAGGCAAGCAGACTCTCTTGAAGGTTCTCGTGCCGCGCTTCTGTCCGGGGGATGTCCTGTGCCATTGCCTCTGCGACAGGATCAGGGCCTTCGCCGTCGAAGAACTTGGCGATGGCGATCTGTACCCAGATCAGTCAGTATAATTCACAAGCTGGCCAGTGCCGCGTTGCAAAAGTTTACCTGGACGTTCCATTGCGATCGCTGCAACAGCGGTATCGCATCCTTGAGCTCCTGATTTGTGACACTTGTGTATTGCTGGAGGGACTCTTGCTGACTTGCAGACAGCTGTCCCAAATCTACGTCTCCGCTCTCCGCCATGCTGTCGTTGGGTGCTGCACACAAGTCAAGATTGGCGAGTATGTCGAAGCGACGATGGGTATAGTCCAAAGGCAGATTCAGTGGTCCATGGAAATAGGTGAATGCGCAGGTTGACGTTGTGAAAGGAGTCAGGCCTAGGGCGGAAGTGGGCTGGTCACAGCGAAGAGCAACGTGGCTAAGCAAGGCAGCGGAGAAGGACCCTTCCGCGGTAGTTGCAGCAGCCTGCCAAAGTCGTGATAAATTGGCAAAGGTCGGCTATTTGACCGTGAAATAAGAAAAATAATACAGCTGGATGCGTGGGAGAGACAGAGGAGCAAGTTCAAGAATCAAAGGAGCGGCTTTGGGCTTTGATGCAGCTCATTGACGAGAGGCTGGATGCGTTGGTAGCAAATGACCGGGTGTCTGAGATGGTCCGCTAGTCGCAGCTGATTGTCGAGAGTGTCTTGCCCGGTGACGACACTTGTCCGTGGGCGGAGTGCGGATGTTCAAGGGCTTGGCAAGGTACATGAAGTAAGGTACGGTACGGAGTACCTACTGCTGGCGTCTGCGCGACGAATCGCGTTCGTGACGCCATAAAGAGTATGTTTTATCGCTTATCTGGACACATGGCAATTGCATCTGTCCGATGAGGGGAGACGTGTCGGATAGGTACATAGCCCCGCTGCGATGTGAAGGATGAGTGGACACCTACATGATCTTTCCTCAGCTACAAACACTACGGGGAAGTGCTAGAATTCTTAGAAATCATCAGGATATCTAATAGATGATACGGATAGCGTTTTCCATAATGTGCCTTGTATCCTTAATTGACGTGACTTGCTACCTACCTGGGATGAACATGAATGCCAATACGGCTATCATTCCCACATCAAGTATCGATTTTCACGAGGCTGGGTAACAGCAAGCCAGTATTCATGCAATGTATATGAGCTGAGTCGTGTGAGAGTGACATCCACCTCATTATGCACCAAGTGAAGGCCGCTTCGACCTAGATGTTATTATCGCTCGGATATTGTGGAAATGACATACTTTCACGGCCAAATCCAGCACGTTTACCCACGAATGTTGATTAATAGTGCGAGAGCATTGACTTTAAGCGGTTTTCATGTCGCGAGGGTGTGTCACTGTCCCCCCTCTCAGTACCTACTGGACACAACCTACGCTGTAAGTTGGTTTGACTTGGTTGGTTCCATTCCCACCACGCCTAACCTCCGCTCGCACCGCCACCTCCCGCTCCTGTGTAGGTTTGGGTATTCCCTGGCCGCGCGGTAGCAAATCTGACCTCTCTGTCTTCCCACCCACATAAACCGCCTACCTCACTGGACTGCTCCGCCGCCCGTCGCGCCGTTGTCGCCGGTCCCTGTTTTTCCCTCTGTCCTTCCTGGTCCCTCCCGCCTTTCCTGCGCTGGGCTGCATATCCGTACGCATCCTTCCAAGAAAAGATACGGTGCGCGCATCGGTGCTTTACTTCTACCTTGCCTTACCTAAGGTACTATCTCGACACGACCTTATTCCGACTTCATTCCGTTGCCTTGCATCATCCGCCAAATTCATCTGCCGTCAACCTCGACCCTCGCCTGGTGCACGGCATCGTGTCCATGATCGAGACACCTACCCCACCAAACGTGTTCAAGCCATGGCAAATGTCTGCAAGGATCAAGTGCGTCTGCCCAAAAATGTCCTCTGCCCCCAGTCCGGCTTCGCGCCAGGCCCCACGCGAGCTCCAGTCCTCCTTCTCTGCCCGCCTTTGTCTTCTCTCCACCCCGCTCAGACAGCCCAAGTCCTGAATTCCCCCCCCGTCCACACCCAGCGCGCGCGCGTCCATACCATGAAAACGACCTCGACGACAACTCGATCATGGGCTTTGGATTTGGCTGACTCTGTGCAGACGTCGTAACGTCGACCAAGGGGGCCAAACTTTCTTCCACCGAAACTACTGATCATGGCCACCTCGCGATACCCCCAGTCCGACCTCCGTCGACAAGTTGGGTCGCCGAAACCCAAAATCCGAGGCGAGTCAACGCGCATGATGCCCTTCCGACCACGTTGCCGTCCCAGGATTGCTGACGCCTTGTCAATTGGCTTAGAAAACAAAGAGACCTTATGCCGAAACGTAATGATATACGGACACTGTCGATACGAGAACACCGGTTGCGCCTTCAACCACGACCAGAATCGTTCCAACTCGGTCCAGAATAGTCCCGGAGGACAGAGCAACCAATCTGATTTGTAGGTCACAGTCCAGATCCGCTTCGCTATCGTGACCGACTTCCATGGCCCAAAGAACCGTCCGAAATGCTCGAGAACTGTTGACGTTTGCTATCGGGACCTGATGCTCCTCTACTGGAGGAAAAGGAGGCGCCTCGATTGTAGAGGCCTTGGCATAGGATCAGCAGCGGTGCTAGACTCTGGCGATACATGTGCCTGACGAGCCTTATTGCGGACTAAAGTTCTCGACATTGAGACCTACTTCGCCTAAAAGGACGAGGTGGATCTTGGAATCGCAGTCCTGGATGAAGTCCCGCCGATCGGCTTTGGCATACATCGCGATATGCAGCAAGATGTCCGTGGATCTCGGACTGGTCACCCTATGGTCGATGTGGACTAAAGCTATGGCCGAAGAAATGTGAATGAAATTTGGATAGCGCCGTGGAGGATGAGATGTAGACCACTAACTTGTAGAGCGAGCATTGACGATGACGGGAAATAATCAAACCTAACGACAAACAATGATAGTAGAAAGCTAACAGTTGGGTTTTAATAGCGCGAGAAAGGCCCTCAATGTCGACTCGCCTTCATTCACACCCGCCGGTCTGCCCTCGGTGGCATCACCGAGTGCAAATACGATAGCGGGCTCCAAGAAATCGACATTTTCCTCCCAGGCTGCGAGTGCAGCCGTTTTTACTCCCAGAGGAGCAGGCTGTACGTCTCGAGCCATGTTGTATCACGGACTATCTCATCTAACTTCTTCACAGCTGCGACGCCAGCCGCCGCTCCAGATGGAGAAGCGGCGTCGACAGTATTTAACCCTGCTACATTTCGAGAATTTACTCCATCAAACTTTGAGTTGAGTACTGGCGTATGGATGACCATGCCTAACAGCTTATTTGAGACTAACATCGAAAAAGATTACTGCCAATGGCTCAGCTTCCGACACAGGGCTCTCATTTGACCCCTTTGCTATGCCCAATGTTGCCCAGCCATTACCGGCCACACCTTTCAACCCTTATGCCGATGATCCTACCGGACTCGCTGGCTCAGGGGCCTACTTCCAACATCAAAATGCTTACACAGCCCCGCTTCAACCGGTGAGAGGACGCGAACTAGATATTTTTCTATGGCAAAACTGACGTCCGGCAGCTTCAATACCATCTGTACGCACCGGTTGGGCCGTATCGAGATGATTTGATGCCGTTCCAAAGGCAAATTCACGACTTCTTCTTACCTGAGAAGATGCGCGAGGAGATGCAACGCAAGTCCGAGGCCTTGCAGCAGGTCATGCCAAGTAAGCTGCACAATGAACAACAGGTACTATAGATTTCTAATGCTGTTGAAGACTCGACACTACCTCCGTTAGACAACTACTACTCCCTCGTTCCCCTTGATACCAGTCATCGGAAGAGTTCCAGTGTCTTTGGCTACACCACATGGGTGTACAAGGCTACATCCTCGAAGAACGGCAAAACATACTGCCTCAGACGGCTTGAGGGTATGCTCTCTGGCAATGCCTATCCTCGACATTACTAACGCAGAACAGGGTACCGACTAACCAACGAGCAAGCTATTCGCTCTGTCAAGGAGTGGCGAAGGCTCAAAAACGGCAATGTGGTGGGAATACATGACGCCTTCACCACGAGAGCATTTGGCGACAGTTCCCTGTTCTTCGTACAAGACTACCATCCCCTCTCCAAGACACTCGCCGAACTTCACTTTTCTCAACCGGCTTCCACCCACGGCACCCGCTTCAGCGCAAAGAACCCCATAACCGAAAGCGTGCTATGGGGCTATATTTCCCAGATAGCCAATGCCTTGAAGGCTATCCACACATTGAATCTGGCTGCCAGATGCCTTGATATGAGCAAGGTCATTGTGACGGACAAGAATCGCATCCGGCTGAGTGCCTGCTCCATTTTGGATGTCGTTCAGTTCGACAACCGTCGGCCCGTTCAGGAGCTGCAACAAGAGGACTTGATTCAATTCGGGAAACTCATTTTATCACTAGCTACTAACACGCCGCCGAACCAGCTCACGAACCTCAAAGGGTCGATGGAACAGATGAGCAGGGTTTACTCGAAAGAAATCACGGATACTGTCTTGTGGCTTCTGACTCCCTCTCAGGTTGGTGCCACGCCCAAGGGTATAGAAGAATTTGTCCGGGGCATCGCAGTCCATATGGTTGCCACGCTAGATGCCAGTTTACAGGAAGCGGACGCCCTGAAGTCGGACCTGTTCCGCGAACTAGAAAACGGCCGCATAGTGCGCCTCATGGCCAAGCTTGGTGCCGTCAACGAACGGCAGGAATTCGACGGCGACAGGAACTGGTCAGAAAACGGCGAGCGATACATGCTCAAACTATTCCGGGACTACGTATTCCACCAAGTCGACGCGAACGGAAATCCCGTAGTAGACATGGGCCACATTATCCGATGCCTCAACAGGCTGGACGCCGGTAGCGACGACCGAATCTGCCTCACGAGTCGAGACGAGCAGACGAGCTTTGTCGTCAGCTATAAGGAGCTGAAGAAACAGCTCGGCAATGCGTTCGGGGAGCTTCTCAAGGCAGGGAAACAGACGTCGAACCGAGGGTTCCAGGGCACCTCTCACTAGAACGGGGAGGGTTGGGATTGCCACGGTTACGACAAGGATCGAGATCACGGTCACGAAAGGATGGGGAACGAGGCTTCGACGTACTTGGATTGCAATGCACGGGGCTGCGTTTCGAATGATGCGAGAAACCACTACGGAGTGTGATGACTGACATAGCGTTGGTTTTGAGACGTTGGACCAAGGATGAACGAACGGTGGGAACGGCGCGTGAGACGACAAGTGGACGCAATGTGTTCACTCGCTTGCTTGCCAGGTTTGAACGTATAAGAGGAGCGTATAGGAGCCTTCGGATTGAGCGGAGAAGGAATAGAAAAAGGGGAGTGAGCGGTCTCGCTGACTGTGGGGAGATGCAGTTAGATGGGAGAGTACGAATGCGGGTAAAGAACAGTAACGAAATAAATCTCTTTTTCATTCATGTTTGTCGTGCACGAGGAGGTGAGGCCGGGGGACCGGCAAAGGCCTTCACTCATGCTGCTCTTCCCGCCATGATATTTGTGCCATACCTTCCCACCACCCCCCCCCCCCCTTTTTCTTTTTCGTTGGTCTTTCTATCTGGTGGATCTTTTTGATATGCCATCGTCATATTCATGTCCTCATGCTGACGTATGCTGCATGCCTACGACACACAAGCTACATTGCCGTCTCGCGTTTACCCAGACGTCCAGCCACAAGTCGCATCCCATCTCGAAGGGCACATTAAATCATGCCTTATCGATGAGTGTCGCTGGATGGGTCCCCACTCCCCTTGCCTTCCTTTTCTGCCTCACACACACAGTTGGGATATCAAGTCGAATTCAGCCCCCTGACTCCCCCCTCCCCCCTCCCCCTCCTTTCTCGGGTTTATTCACTCCTCCTCGGGCTGCGCAAACGGGTTCGCTATGGGCTCGCTTCCGTCGACGGGGCTGACGAGGACGAGGAGGGTTCCGCGGGCGACGATGAGGCCTAGGGACCTGGTCGTTTCGTTTCCTTCTTCGTCTGTTGAGTTGTTTGTTTCTTGTCAGCCGCGAAGCCATATTGAAAGCTCCCCCCTCCCCCCTCCCCGTCCCCCTTCTGGTTTACGCCAAGCATGGGGCAAAGGCAAAGGTAGAGACACACGTACCTCTCATGACTTCCTGGACCTCGTCCAGCACCAGGTTCATCAGCGCATCGTATCCCTTCAACGTTCCAGTGACTGTGGTTTCCTAACGTCAGCAACCGATACACGCATGATTCCCACACACACACACACATAGCCCCTCCCCCCTCCCCCTTCGCAAGAATCATGGGAGGGGGGGTAAGAAGGAAAAAGGAAAAAGGAAAAGGGGGACAAAGTACAACGCACCTTCGCGCCCGCCGTTGAACTTGACAGTAATCTGCTTGTCCATATACTTTGACAAGTCGAGGATATTCTCCTTCTTGGGCCTCTCGCGATCGCCGCCCGAGCCCTGGGCTCCGCCTCGGTCGCCGCCGCCGCCGCCGCCGCCGCCGCGACCTCCTCCCCTTCCGCCGCGGTAGTTTCCTCCTCCTCCGCCTCCGCCTCGGCCGCCGCCTCTGTGTGAGCCTCTATCCGCCATTGCGCCGCTGGGTTGTGTCCTGGTGTGTCGTGGCGTTTGTTTGTCTGTTTGTAGGAGGGGCTCAGGTCCTATGGTCTTGCTTTGGAAGGTCCGTTATCGGGGCCTGGTTACCAATTCGAAAATGTCCCTCGATATTTGGTTACGGATTTTCGCTTTGTCGCGGGGTGACGTCGTTGAGAGATCGTGGGTGTGTTTTTTGGCGGCTGGGATGTTTGGCCGAGAAGGCTAGGGTGAGAGGTTCGGTGGGAAAATGAGCTTGAGCTTGGTCCGGGCTTCTTCCATGGTGGGGCGGGTTCTGGTCTGCGTCCTTTCCCCTTCGCCCCTCCCCGCCGTTCAGAGGCCCGGGCTCCGTGATTGGCGGGGCGCGGGCTTTTCGTTCAATCGAAACCTGGAGGACGGGACGGGAATAGTTGAGGTACGGGTCCCTCACCGAGTTTACCATACCAAGAGGGAACCCCAAGAATTTGCGAATAGTGACTGTATATCGCCAAGCATGGAATTGATGATTTCTTCGTAGCTTCGGGATTTCTACATACAAGTGTACAGATCCGATGTTTCAAAAGGTTCTCACATGGCAAAAATAAGGCAGCCTGGCATGGCAGTCCGCGTGATACCATTGCTTCAATATTGCGCATAGCCACTGTTTTCTCGGTTCATGAAATACTTTATTTTGATTGTTCGCCGATTCGGGGTCTCTTGTCTTTGATCACGCAACGCTTCTTCCTTACCGTTCACCAACACTTTCTCAGCAATGAGCAAGTAGCCGAGGAAGGCTTTTTGTGCGGAAAGCTTGTCTTGCCGTCGCTAGACAACATAGAGGACATCACCAAATGCCAGTCAATTCAGTATCCGTACGGAGTGGTGAAAGAGACATATCGAGTCCCAGATACTCCGTAATGACAAAGAATAGACATCGATCGTTCGACTAAGGCCACATAGCCGTGTTACCGAGAAAATAAAGTTTCGGTAACGGGGAGGAAATACTGCTGCCTATCCGCATATTGGCACCGCAACGAAAAAAAGTTCCAATAACCATCACCATGAGCCAGTGAAGAAACAGAGAATCTAATTTCAGATTTTTGCTTCCTTCTGGGATCGGCGTGAAGACCGATGACTTTGCAGCAACGACGCGCAACGGTCAAGCCAAAACGTCTTGGCGATGATGAAGCCAGAGCGCGTCGTCGTTGAAATACGACTATGGGCTAGCTCGCCCCGTGTAAGTGACGACACACTATGATGTGTAAACCGCGGTACTCTGTATACCAAGGCTCACGGAACCGGTAAGCTAGGCTGTGCAGCTTCTTCTTTCCTTCTTGACTGATTTGACGAAGCCGGGGAAGGAGATGGAATTATCGGACCGGGGTTGGGAGGCTGGGAAACGTACTGTGTAGGTGAGCGATATACTTCATACTGGCTCGCGTGAGTGGTGTTGGTTCCTGTAAGAGAAGTAATCCTGGCGCGTGTTCCGTTGGTGATTTCCAAAATGTCTTGGCACTGCCCTCTGCGCCACCCCCGATGATATTGATGGGCACCAAGAGCACCACCCAAAAAGCGGGAAACAACGCATCATTACGCCGCTACATTAGACCTTTAGGTCAGTGCCATAAAGTGGGCATCGGGGAGTCCAGAGTTGATCTGGCGAATTCCCGAGGTTGTTGAGATTGCGCCTCTACTATCTCATTCGTCCTCCTTGTCCGGACATTTGGCCGGCCTTCTCTTGCAGATTGGAGGGGCCACGTACCGTGGTTACGAAGCCTAGTCAGCACTTCTGACCACTCTATCTCCCTGCAAAGTCCCTGTGATGTAAACACAAGTTAAGCAAAACCAAGGTGAGAAAATCTCGGAGTTAACGGGCTGCGAGGAACGTTTCCATATCAACCCAACCAACTTGAGAGGAGTGTTGTATCCGTATAGCAAAGTGTGTGTGACATTCAAGGTGTGCCCCCCTTTCCCACTCTCCAAGGGCGAAAGGGAAACCAAACCGATCAGCGAAAGCGAGCGAGCGGAGGGGCCGCTGGCCAGTGGCAACTGCTGCTCGATTTCATTCCAAAACATTGACAGGCCCAAAAATAAGGTAGTTGTTTTGCCCATCAGTGTCGGAGCGAGTTACATCCCAGCTGGTCGTCCGTCCCTGGAATTTCTGCACGTGCGTCGCGTGGGAAGGAGGGGGCAACACGGTAAGTGGTTCATGGCACATGGGAGGGATGGAGCTGCTAAGTCGGGAAACGTTTGGCTTGGTTTGGTTTTATAACGACGTGAAGTGATGTTTGAGGGTGAGGGAGGCGATCAACCATGCCATGTGCGATTAGACATAATTAGAAGCGTTGTGGGCAGATGAGACTGCGGTTGACGATGATCTCACTCGTTGGCCTTTTAGAGTTGGTTTGCGCGGGCCCCCGAGTGCCGGCCGGCGCGAGATGCATATTCGTACCTAGTCCAGGACTCCAGAGGCATGCAAGGTATGTAGGTAGGTACTCGAGTACATACTCGAGCGGGGTGCGAAAGTCATGTTTCTGTGATGCTGAGGATCCGCTTGAGTCGCCCCGAAACAAGACGGGGTTGGCTTGTTGGACAGGCATCCTGGGTGGTGAGGATGAAGGGAGTTTATAGATTGGCGATACTTTGGGTCCCCGACCTCAAGTCTTGGTTAACGTCGGTACCTTTTCCCATGGTGTACAGAGCGGCAATGGCGTAGGTTTCTCGAGTAGGTAATGCGTTCCTCGCGTTCCGCTCCGTCCGAAAGGGATCAAAGCTTCCCAATTGTCGGGTCTCCGTGTTTCCTCTCTATCCCACCCACCGTCGTCCCTTGTCTGGATTTCTGTTCAGCATTAGCACTGTCTTTCTAGAAAGGTTCCATCTAAGGATGGGCCGCCTACCTGTGCCAGGTACTGCATACCGCGTACGGGTAGAGGGGCACGCCCGCGGTGCCATGGCCCCGGGCGCGCAACTTGACCAGCGGGCGCGCGGGTTCCCTCTATCTAGTTCGTCTTGGGTAACGTCGTACCTTGCTAAGGACTAAGAGGGCCTTGCTCCGCCCCTCCACCCCGTCCGCCGTCGAACTATGGCAGGCTTGTTCCCCTAGGCAAGGTAGCGACTCGCTTGCCGTCTGGCTGTCAAGTGCTGTATGATGTGCGTGCGCCGTGGCCGTCACGTCGCGCGGTGTAAGTCGGGACACACCAGGGTAAGACGGCAATTCAGAAAGATGGGATGTTTTAACGAGACGTGCCGGTTCGCCGGGGGCGGGAAGTATTGGATACTAGGCACGAGGTCAGGGTCAGATCACAGATGTGATGCAACGGAGAAGAAAGGGGCGGTGGTGGTTGTCAGTGGTGCGGCGTGCCTCTTCTTGTCTCGTTTCTGTGTCTTGTTTCTTGTCGTCCTCGTTTCTGTTCCTTTTCTGTACGGAGTAGGTAGGTAGGTAGGGTGTCTCTGTCAGGACTCAGTGGTATTCTTAGAGAAGTGAGAGGTACAGTAATGGAACGTAGCTTCCTGTCGGTGTCCCGGCAAGGTAGTTGGGCAGGTGAGGATCTACGGTGCGCTCCTCCCTCCGAGATTCCCACCCGGCAGCCCATATTTCCGACCGAGTCTCATGTTCAGCGCGGGCGGTGTCTCAAGCTTGTTATTCGCATGTCCATCCATCCATCCATCCATCCAGCAATCCATCCATTCCTCCTTGGACAACTCACTTTGTCATTCATCAATCACTCTACAGTAGTCTTGAGTCTCTCACAGTCGCAGACTCACCAGTCTCACACAGATGGTGCCCCCCTTCTTCCCGCCCGCTACTCCTCTCCTCTCGAAACACTCAAAGCCGACTGGCCGGTTGGCTCCTCCATTTCCCCAGTTTCCAGGCTGTGCACTGCACCAGGCTGGAGCCGGCTCTTTGGGGCCCAAAGACCATGGGCCTTGATCGAGAAAAGCAGGCAGCTTGTTCCCCGCTCGTATTAATTGTGTTCGGCGTCCAATATCCTGCATCGACCATCTCCCGGCATCGAGAAGTTCTTCTAACTCTATGTCGCGGGCCGACGATAGGCACCTCGGTCTTAAAAGACAGGTCCCCTTTTTTTTTTTTTTTTTTTTTGCTTAAATTTTGCAAATCAAACCTTGCCGCTTTGCCGACCCCTTGGGCGCATGATTTGCTTCTTAGCTTGGTTATCATTCTCCCCGAACCCGACACGTTCGGCTCCCAGAGCCGGACTGTTCAGCTTCCAAGCCTTCATAGGGCTGCCAGTCTTACATAAGGATACCGACGACAAGCGGGAAACGGCCTGCTTTTTTGTTCAATCTTACCTCATATTAGTCGCTCAATTGCTTTATACGACATCTCTGCGCCGGGTCCCAGCGCCACCCCCGTACACAGTTCGCCGTCATCCGTTTTGAAATTTCCCACTTTGCTCGTATAGGACAAGCTGCGTTTATCGACGGGTCAAGTACCAAGGAACTCAAGAGGCAATTAAAGAACGGCGGGGAGAAGGAAGAAGAAAAAATCGAAAAAGGACTCACCAAGAAAAAACCGCATCGCTGGGGACTCTCCCTATTACGCCGTCTTACATGGGCTGAAATTCTGAGCCGCGGAGACTGCACAAGCACAGGCACACAGGATAGCTTCTGCTGCTGCTTCTTCTTCAACGGACAGAGACGGACAGAGACAGACGGCCTGTCTCTGCACACAGCCCCGGGTCTAGTCCAGTCCAAACCAGCCCGTTGGTGTGGCCCCCACCAGAATTGCTTGGTTGTCGATTTTGTTGCTCTTTTGGGGCTTTTCGCGTGTTTGGGGGGCCGGGGCGGGCTGCGTTTCTGAGAGCTGGCGCCGGCGCGCACCCTAGTCCATATACTCATCATCACCACATTCCGCTGCCTTGGCTTGGCGTTTCTTTCAGGTAACCTCAACTCACTCTATCTCACCTGCCTCAAGGTAACCACAGCCCTTTTTACGGAATACACAGTTCGGATGTTAGTCGGGTATCTCTCGATTGATCTATCGCCTGCCCACCTCATCTTGTCTTGCGCCTTTGATGCCACGCTAGGAGCTGCTGTAGCTTCCTGCCTACTTCCCGGCAGCCGTTGGCTCTGCGCTGCTTCCCGCTCAAGTTCCACCAATCCTCCTCATCTCAATCTCACTTACACACGCCTCATGCCTCACGCCTCACGCCTCACGCCTCACACCTCACACCTCACACTTTACACCCAAAAGGGGGACCCTGCCCTGCCCTGGCCCTCCTTCCTTGCCTTTCTTTCACTTATCCATCCACTCACTCACTCATCCTCACTATCTATACTGCGTACCTTACACAGTACTTCATACTGAGTCCAGTCCCTTTTAGACTCTCCGTACTTGGGAAAACTGAGGTGTCCTCGGGTTCCGTCAGTCCAAGCTTTTTAGGCTCCCTCCCTTCCCGACGAACGAAAAAAGAAGGACGCCGGGTCCCCTCTCCCACCCCCGGCCCCATCCGTTTAGTGGAACTCCCCTCCGCCCTTGCTGCACCGCATCTTTGCTTTCCATTGCGGTCCTGCACTGCATTTTCCCAGCCGTCCACCGCACACACACACTCACACTCACACTCACACTCACATACCATACCTTCCTTCCACACTTCCACACACCTCGCCTCGCGCTGGGCTGCCTTACCGCTCACTTGCTTCACACTAGCATCCCAACCCGCCTCTCGCCCTCTCTCAATCTCACTCTCACTCATTGACTTGGGCACTCACTCTCATACACACACATACTCGCCCGCCCGACTCATAGGGGTGCCGCCGCCCCTCTCCCCCCCGTCGCGAAAAAAAGGGAGCCCACTCTTCAACACTCCCGTTCCGTCGTGTCTCTCCTAGTGCCTAAAGGCTCATCCCGGGTCTCACATCCAGAGGTACGGTACTCTTTCTCACTCTCTCTATTTCACTCACCTCACTTTCATACCGACACACGACATAACCAATTTGGGACTTTGCGGCTTTGCGGTGGGAACTCGGCACCCGCTTGCCCCTGTCATTGGGCAACTGGCCCGTAAACTCGCCTCTGCAGCTGCACCCGCCGTCCGCTCTTCTTTCCCTCTTCTCTCCTCCTCTCTCCCCGTCCCGTCCCCCAAGCAGTCCGTCCCATCTCCATCACTTTCACTTACCTACCAACCCACCAACCCTGCCTTACTCTACATGTCTTCTTATTCTCTCTCACGCCCAAGGCGCGAGCACACACTTGCTTGAGTGATTTCTCTCTCTTTTCATCCCATCCAACTGCACATCGGCCCTCTACCTGCTTGTGCTTGTAAGTACTTTGCCTACCTTACGTTACGTTAAGGTCCCCCAAGTTCCCTTGTCTCGCCCTACCTTACTTTGCCTCTCTCCTACCTTAAGGTACTTTACCTTACGCCTATTTCCTACAAGTACCTTGCCTTACTCCTCCTCCCGAGTTCCGCCCCAGTTCCCAGCCAGCCCCCGTCCTGTGGCCCCGACCACGTCCCCCGTTTCCCCCCGTACAAATCCTGAACGAAACCCCGATTCCAACCCTCCTCCTCTCCCCCCGTCTTTTCTTGGCTCTCCGGCCTCATTCACTCCTCCCCCCCCTTGGATCAACAAAATCTCTCGTCCTTCTTTCGTTCGAAAGCTTGCTTGCTCCATCCCAAGCCCCTCCAACTCTCATCTGTTCTGTTACCTGAGGCATTCCCTCCTCACTTCACTGGGGCCCTGTCTGCTGGGTTGCCACCACCTCAAAAGGTGCTGCTCCGCCATGAACTAACCAACTCCTAGATTTCAGGATCCCTCTTATTACGCCCCGGGGCCCTTTGGCCTTCTCACACACACACACATACTTTACACCGCTCCACTCAAATCGCCATTCGTCTCACACACGCACCCGGCCTTTGGTTTTTACAGTTGATCTTACTCTAGAGGGAAGAAAGAAAGGGCCACAACGAGGAAGGGTGGAAAAAAGAGAAGAAGAAAAGACAACTTGCTCTCGCGGGATCCTCCCGTCTGTTGCCCGCGGTGACAATTTCACCATGGCGCATGCCCAGGATTCCCAAGAGCCCCATAAACGGAAACGGGACGCAGACGACGGCGGCGCTCAGCCAGCTCACTCTGATCGCATTCCCCAGCCTCCTCCGCCTCAGTCAGGTATGTGTGGTGCGCCAGTGTGTGTGTGATCCAAGAGTCGAAGTCTCCAGCAAGAAAACCAAAATCCAAAAAAAGAGAGCAAGAGAGCAAGCATGTCGCGATGCGCTGAAGGACTATGAGCCGTCGATCTCAGCCTTCAGCTGCATCTCGTCGTTGTCGTCGTCGCGCCCGGAGGCAATCGAGGTTAGACTCGCCATTGATCCCTCGCCCCGGCCTGCCTGCCAGCGCCGCCCGCACCTTGTTTTCTACCTCTTCATTGTTTCCCCAAACTTCATCCCTCCCGTCTCCATCTTCGTCTCTTCTCCAGCCCAGGCTTTCTCTCTCCATCTGCATCGCGCTTGTTCCAAGCCCCTTGGCAATGCTTAATTGACCTGTGCCATGGAATCTTGCCCCATAGGCCATACCCGCTTGCGCTGCATCTCATCTCGTCCCATGAACTAGTACTAATTGTCAACCCAAAAAGGCAATGCATCCATCATCAACTACCTATCTAAAGCCAGTACTGGTAGACTCCAGCTCATTCAGGGAGAGCCTGACACATTCTCGGATGTGCTTGGTTTATTAAATCAGTACGAAGGTACGGTTTTCCCCTTTTCTCTTGTCTGTGGGGTATTATGGAATATCATGCTCAACGGTCAACAATAGGAGTCCTCAATAGACATGAGAGTCTCGCGGCAAACTTGGGCGCCAAGCTCACCGGGCCCCGTCTGCTGAAAGCTATGGAGGGAGCTTTTGAAGGTCCCATCATTACCAACCCACCGCCTCCATACGGCGCGGCACCCGTGAGCTGGCTCGATATTGTCACCTTTGCCAAGACAAATCCTGAGAAATTTGTTCTCACCACCGGACACGATGGCGAGCGCACGTGTCAGTTCTACCTGAACGGCATCCAGACCCAAATTCTTGAAGATGACTGGCGGCTCATTATCAACGGTGCCTTGGACAGGTTCTCCGTGGTGTCCACGGCTCCCCTGGAAGAGGATGAGACGGCCGAAGTCGCGACACTGGAAATTGTGGAGCAGCGACTACAGGTTCTCATCAAGAAAGCCGATGAGATCGCCAAGAGGGCACGACAGCTCAACTACCACTTGAGCGGCCGCAGAGCCGGAATCAACTCACGTCATGGCGGACAGCAAGGAGGCAGCTCGGCCTTTCAGTCCGTCAACCACTCCAGAGGCCACGTTGCCCACGGAGCTGGATACGACCTTCATGCAGACCTGCTCCAGCAGTTCCTGTCATCTTCCCAAGCCTACCCCCCTCGAGTGCCCTCCAGCGCCGGCCTCGAGCAGGCCCATTCGACGGGCCAACACACGCCGCCCGCGACGAATCCTCATCCGCACTCACTACCCTTGCAAGGACGTCCAGTTGTCGTGCATGCGCCACCGGTCATGCCACAGAGAGATCCGTCGTATGACCCGTCGTCGCCGCACCGGGCCATCATCACCGCAAGGATAGAAAAGTT